CAGGACGAGCACTACGATTTCCTGTTCAAGCTGGTGCTGGGGGGAGAAGAGAGCGTGGGCAAGACGTGCGTGGTGCAGCGCTTCAAGACCGGCGTCTTCTCCGCGCGCCAGGGCAGCACCATTGGCGTCGACTTCACCATGAAGACGCTGGAGATCCAGGGCAAGCGGGTCAAGGTGGGAGGCGGCGCGGCCCGCCGCTCGCTCCCGGCGGGTGGTTCCTGGTCCAGTCCTTCAGTTTCCCCTTCTTTCGGAATGGGCCCGGGCCTTGATGGTCCGTCCGCACTGGGTTCTGGGTTCAGGTCCGAAAGCACCGCCTTGGGCTCTGGGAGTGGTGACAGTAGGCGTCCAGAGCGAGGAGGAGAGGAAGCCTGTCCCCCACACCCCACCCCCCTTGCTTACGGCGTGGGGACTCCTCCGAAATAACTTGCGGTGGAAGGCAACCTGCGGGCTGTTCCCGTGAGCGCCGCGCATGCTGGGACCGACCCTTCCCTGCGCGGCCCTCTGGGGAGCACTCAGCCAGATAACGACATCCCCGTGACCAGGAGGGACCAGGAAGTAGTGGCTGCTAGGACCGGAGGGCCAAAAGTTTTTTTGTCAGAATTTCCTCCCTGGCCACGCCTCCCTGCAGTCTCTCTTTTGTGGACCCGGTGGTGGCCCAGCTGGGGGGAGAAAGAAACCGAAAACTTTACAGACACCGGAAGGTGGGGGAGAGAACCAAACTTTGGCAATGACCCCAGCAGAAACAGCAGGATGTGGTTGCCACAATGTCCTGGCAATGATTTGATAAATAATATTTGGGATGAATGAAATCAGTTTCTTAACCTAGGTGTCTGCCCTCCCTAACAGTAGCATCCTGGACAGGACGCAGCATTGTTCTTGCTCACAGTAACTTTCCCTCAGCAACTTTCCCGGCTTGCACCCGACAGAAGTCCTTTGCCATTTTTCCTGGTTTCAACTTTACAAGGATCTCCAAGCCAGCTTTAAAGAGTAGTGGGTGGGAGCTGCCCTATGTTTTCAGGAAGTGAAGCCCGGGGATGCGAGTCTCTTCACCCTGTTGCTGCTGTGGCTTTGTTTATTTGGGTGGCGGTAGGCCTGCCCTCTGTTGCCCTTGGCTGGGATACTTAGCTCTTTGTTTCTATAAAGTTGGGGTAATTTCTGGGTGTTGCCTCTCTCTTGTCCCATTTTGTAGAAAAAAAGTAAGTCAATCATTTTTATGACCACTGTGCCTCTAGAGATGTGGCTGCAAGGGTTTAAACAGTCCTTTGGGTGTCGGCATATTTTGGTTTCTGTGAGGTGGAAAAGGGCCAGGTGCAGGCAGGCAGCTTTAGTTGTTCTGGACCATCCCTTTGGAGCAGGTGGCCCGGGAAGGGCTGACATGGGTGGAGTATGTTCATGGTCAAGCTTGCACCCTCTGATAATGCCAGCAGTCAACAAAGTGCAATGTGAAAATAGAAGCAGAAGGAATATGGCTCCCTTTTGGAAAGCTCTTGGCCTGTGTCCGGTGTATGTGGATCCTGGTGCTGACTGGTCAAGGAGGGGGCTGTTTACCTGTGGAGATAACCCGTCACCTAGTGCAGCCCTGGGTGGACTGTGCACTTGAACTTAGGTTATGCAATACAGTACCGAGCAGCTTGTTATTTCTTTTCCTTGTGGTCACTTCAGATTTTCCTCTTAGGAGGTAGCCTTGTGGGCCTGTGAGTGGCAGAGCTGTGTTATGTGTGCTGGTTGTCCTTTCTAGAAGCTATTGTGAGGCAGCTGTTTAATGGATGTGTTCTATAGACTGGAGGGCGTTGTCACTGTTAATTCTTTTTGTGATGATGGGGGTTAAGCTTAGGGCTCAGTGTATAAGCCCTACCAGTAAGCCTGTCTCCCACCTGATCTGGGCTTTGTAAGAGTCCGAGGAACTCTCAGAGACAGGCCATCTGCTGTTCCAGCTCCTCTGAAGTGGAAGTACCCTGGAGTGAGTGGGGAGGCCAAGAAGGCAGAGGCTTTGCTTCCCAACAGTTCAGAGCAAAACCATTTTACTCAGTTCTGTGTTTCAGCTGTCAGAGCAAAACCATTTTATTCAGTTCTGTCTTTCAGTTGTCAGAGCAAAACCATTTTTATTCAGTTCTGTGTTTCAGTTTTACTTACTTGTTGAGAGACTACTGCTGAAATGGAAATTTGAAAATGACAGATCCAATCAAGTTTTTTTTTCCCTATAGTCATTTCCCATTACAACCACTGCACTATCCTACTTGAAGAGATGGCCTGTTTGTCTCTCCAACCCTATTCTCTAACCTCTTTAGCCCTCTTCTTTAGATATGCCAAGATTGTGCCTGCCTTACCACCTTTGCATCTTTCCCCACTTATCGTCATACTGTGTCCTTAGATCCCTGTGTAACTGATATTTTATTACTGGGTTCTATGAATACTGCTTTCCCACAGAGTCCTCTCCTGACCTCCCAGGTCTTTCCCCCCTGTTGTCTATGTGCTTATAGCACTCACCTAGACATGAACTTACCTGGGTTGTTTGTCTCTTCCTGTTGAAGATAAGCTCCTTAAGGACACAGAGATCCAGCTGGCCAGTGTCAGACACATGCTGTTCAGTATATGCCTGTTTACTGGTTAATATTTATAGAGGAAGCTGAAGCCAAGAAAAGTGAAGTAGCTGGCTTACCCGAGGTCTCTTATAAGTCAGGGCCAAAACCAAGATTTGAACTCTGGATTTGACTGGCTTCTGGGTACAGTGTTCACTTTCTGATTCCTTCTGTGCCAGGAAAGGTGGCCCCAAAGTTCTGAAGCTGATGACACCAAGAACCATTGCACTCACTGAGAACAGAGTATGCTTTTGCCACCCCCCTCTGTTTTTTGCAAGACATAGCTTCATGTAGTCTAGGCTAGCCTCAAGCTCACTATATAGTTGAGGATACCCTTGAGCTTGTGATCCTTTTGCCTCTACTTCCCAAATTCTGGGACCACAGATGTGTACCACCACAACCAGTTTTTGTACTAAGAAATCTTATAAATGCTTTTAATAATAAGAGTTGGCACCAGAATATTTCAGGGTGTTTATCAACTAATAGGGACACTGAGATAGTCCCACTCAGGGGTGGTCAGTTGATTCAGCAAGTAAAAGTACTGGCTGCCTAAGTTTGATCCTGAATCCCAGGGTGTGAGGTTGAGAACTGACTCCTGAAAGTTGATCCCTGAACTCCACACACGTGTGTACTTCTGTATATGTTCGACACACATGTCATATGTAGACATACAATAAAATTTAAAAAGTAGCCTAATCAGATCGCACAAGCTGCTGTGAAAATTTACAAGTTTTTTGTTTTTTTTTTTCAAGTCAGGGTTTCTCTGTGGCTTTGGAGCCAGTGCTGGAACTCACTCTGTAGACCAGGCTGGTCTCGAGCTCACAGAGATCCGCCTGCCTCTGCCTCCTGAGTGCTGGGATTAAAGGCATGAGCCACCACTGCCCGGCATTTACAAGCCTTTTAAAATGGTCATTTGAGGTGTCCTGGATGTGTTTGACTGGAGGTCTGAGGATTGGGTGTAGCACGTGAATCCAAATGCCATTTGTCTTTCTGAGGCCAGGTGTCTGAAGCCTTGTGTCTTACATCTGTGTCCATGCATTTTGAGTTCTTTCTTGGAGCCTCAGGCTTTTTCATCTCTGAAATGGGACTAATGACTGACCATTCACCTACTTGTGAAGGTTATTGAAAAACTGGATATGCTTGAAAGCATTTAAAATTTCCCTGGCTTTTTTTAAAAAAATATGTTTTAAAAATTTATTATTAATATATGTGTGTATGTGTATTTGTGCAACAGTAGGCTTGTGGAAGTCACAGGACCCTTCTCTCCTTTCACTCTGTGGGTCCTGTGTATTGAACTCATTGAGTTATCTTGCTGGCCCTTCCTAGCTTTTTTTCTCCCCCCCCCTTTTTTTTTTTTTTGAATAGGTGATCTATTCATATGGTTCACGTCACAAAATTTCAAAGACTTAAAGGATACTCAGGGAAGTTCTCTTACCCCTTTGGCCCTCAAGCTACCCTGAACCCAGTAAACAGAAAACAAATGTACTACCCATTTCTTTCTTTTCCTCCAAAACATATTGTAAATAAAGCCAAAATGTATAATGCAAACAAGCAAAAGGGTTTGTCTGATGGTTGCTTTTACTGCCATGTTCTTGTAGATGACTAGGGATGGTAAGCTTGCTTCTCCTCCAGCTCTCACTACTCCATGCTATTCCCTGTAGGAAAGCCCAGTTCCAAACCCCTAGTTCATTCCCACCGATTCTTCCTTCCTTTATGTGGGCAACACAAAGGCCTGTTATGTAAACTTGGTTTTGCAGATCACTAGGCACACAGTCCCCCAAGTACATGAAGCCTATACATGGCTTCATCAGGCCTCCTGGCTACTTGGTAGAAACACTGCCACATCTCTCTCTCTCTGGTTTTTCAAGGCAGTGTCTTGGTATAGCCCTGGCTGTTCTAAAACTTGCTCTTTAGGCCACGTTGGCCTTGAACTCACAGATATGTCTGCCTCTGCCTCCTGAGTGCTGGGATCAAAGGTGTCTGCCACCACTGCCCAGCTTCCACAACTCTTCATGGAATCTGTGCCTTTGGACCAGGACTTCCAGCTCATTGTCCTTGACTCAAGCTGGCCTCATAAATGTACTTTGTTTCATAGCTGCTCCTGTTATTTCCAAAGAAGGGGGGGTGGGGAGGATTAAAAGTGTGTGCGTGCGTGCGTGTGTTGGTTGGTGATGGAATCCATGGCCCATGCACTACAGACAAGTGCTCTCCTACTTAGCTGCACAAACCAGACTTTTCTTGTTTGCCTTCCCAGTTCTTCCCGTCTAGGACCTGGCTTTTTGTCTGTGCGTTTCCTATTTGGATAAAATCAATTTGACTTTTTGGTTCTGCTCAGAATAGAAAAAGGACTGTTAGATAAGAGATGTTCTGGGTCACAGTGATTGTCTGAAGAAATCTGTTCTTGATACCAATGGTCACCATGCTCATTGTAAACTAAACCTTGCCTCCTGAGGATTCTTACTGTCCTCAAGCAGTGCTCATGTGGGAAGAGACAGAGAGAGAGAGGGCTAGCTCCAGAACCGCAGAGGCAAGTTAACCCTCAGGTCAGCACACATTACCCTGGGTATATGATGGCACCTCTTCTAACTTACTGTG